TATTTTTTAATAAGTATTCCATAAAGCATAAAGAAATATAAAAAAAGATGAGAAAAGAATCTCACATCTCATATTTTCGAAAAGCTTCATTTCTTTTGACTATGTATATGGGGCTATCCTTGGGCAGCTTGGTCACACTGCTACCTACCAAATTTCCCAATCATAAATTATATATAGTAAGTAACACTACATTAAATACATAATATAATAGAATAATAAAAAAAAATTAGGGTATAAATGCAAGTTACATACTTGGAAGCACAACTGGAGATTTATTTTCCTCAATCTTGTGAGATTTTGGACTTGGAGAAGTTGTTTTGATGGTAGCATGCAATCCCTGCAAAGTGAAAGTGTAAAACACATCTCTCATACCTACTTTAAGAAACTTAAAATGAAGTTGTTCAAGCAAAAAAGATACCATTGAATCTTTACCAAATTCTTGTTTAAAAGCTTTTGGAGTGTAAAGGATCTAATGAACTCTAAAAATGGATATCACCAACATCTACTCTATTAATGATGAATGATGTCCAGATGAACAAGTGAAAAAATTTTAAAAGCAATATGAGAATATAACTTTTACCTTCTTCTTCTCTTTTCTCTTGAGAATTTTCATGTGGCATTTTTTAATGTAGTGCATTAGGTGATAACGGGAATGTCTTGCAGACAAATCATCTCTGATCTCTGGGTTCTCAGTAAGCCAATCTATAATTTCTTTTGACTTGATTACCTCCTCTGTCTTTAATGTTTCTAACCATGAATAAATAGGCTTCCACTGATCACTACGCTGGAAACGAGCATGATTAGGATCTTTTTCCTACCACAACAGAAAATCTCTATCACTACAATTGCCATTTAACAGCATATAAATTGCAATTGAAACACTATTGAAGTTGAAAAGGAACACATTTGAAATCTACAGTCATAGAATTGCTATTTTTCTGAAGTGGCACTAGCTAGATCCAATTTACAAAAACAAAAACGTATTCAATGGTGAATTTTCATTATTGAATTCATAACAAGTTAAAACATCCCCGATTTCGGGATAATGCCGGAAGTTTGCTTACACATGCTATGATAACAGGATAGTGAATAAAAAATGACTACCTCATTGGAGAGATTTCCATCGTTTAAAAACGAAGTAAACATCTGGCATACATCTGATAGAGGCATTGATTTGATGTGATCGGGTAAGGAGGAATTGTTGGATTGAAGCCAAGTTTCGACTTCGGAAGGGTTTAGAGACTTGTCTGCAGGAAGCGTGGAAAGCCATGTTCGAGCCAGTGTTTCGAAATCATCTGCTGCGTCGATGTCGTAGTCAAGGCTTTGATGATCGATGTCTTGGTTACCTTCTAGGGTTTCCGCCTGTAAATCCATTGAATTTGACATTTGCAGTTTGCTCGAGTGCCTTTGGCAAAGCTTAGAACCTATACTTTTTTACTTATAACTTATTTATTCGGTTAAATAAGGAGTTTCATTTTTTTATTTATTAGAGCAACCCTATAAATTGTTTTTTATCTAATACGAAAATGTTATTGCAACCCAACAAACTTATATGTTTTGGTTTAAAAGATCCATTATCTTATTTTTTTCATTCTAAGGGTACAAATTCATATTCTTTAGATTTAAATGTCCTTCTGAAAAAAATAAATGGCTCATCCGGTGAACCCCTTCCTAGTTAACAGGTTTAATATGCAAATTCAATTATTAAAGTCCCCCCTCAATTGATACGATACAAGACCTACAATAACCCTAAATTCAATAGCGATGACCATGAAATCAACGAAGACTCCATCTGCTTCTCGTTTAAGAGAAAACCAATAATCACGTATGAATTGCATCACAACAAATCAAAGGTTTAAATCAGAAAAGATAGCAATGGTGTCTCTTTCGATTTCAATCAACATTCTTCGCTCTGTTCTTCATCTTTTTTGTTATTGACAGAGTAACCTAATCATGAACGTCAATCTTAATCGACGACGATTCTCCACTCTGTTCTCTGCCTTCCAATTTCAACCAGCTCTAATCATGAACATCAAATCTGATCGACGACGGTGACGCAATTTACCTATTTAGAAAAAGAAAAAGGAGTATAAAAGTTATAACTATTTTCATCCGGATCACACACTATGATATCACTCTCTTTCTACTCCTTCCCTGATTCTTCACCCACCCTTCTTCATCTCCCCCATTTCTTTCTCTGAAATAACTAGTGTGTGAGAGAGAGAAAAATTGACCACAAGATGAGGATTCGCTTCCTTTTTACTGTTGTTATAGTGCATTCCCAACTCATTCGCTGCCAAATCAGGTCAATTGTCGGAATACCGAGCACTAATTTCCCTCAAATCCGCCATCATTTACGACCCTCAGTCCTCCCTTTCCACCTGGGACCCTTCTACCAGCCACTGTACTTGGTTCGGTGTCACCTGCGAACGAACTCACAGGCTCTATCCCTCCCAAAATCGAAAACTTAACAAACTTCCAACGCTGCCAACTGTGGTCTCTTTAGTGAAGTTCCTCCGGAAATCGGGAAGCTTCAAAACCTGGGCACGTTGTGGAAATTAAAGGCCACCATTGTTAATGGAATAAAGTTTTTTCCATTTCCCAATTTTGGAAAAGATAGAAGAAAAAAGGTGAAAACGTTTTTATAGGTAAGAAAAAGTGTCAGGTAGTGCTTAGATAAATCCCCAAAGTTGTTGACGAGGCAGAAGTCTACTAGGCTCTAAGTGTTGCTGACGAGGCTACATGTCATCTTTTTTTAACCTATTTGACAAATCTAACCGGTTATAATGGGTTGTTTACATAATTTAGTAGGTAAAACACAAGTTGATGCCCTTAGAAAGCAAAAAAAATAAGATAAAGGATCTTTTAAACCAAAAATACGTAAGTTTGTTGGGTTACGGTGATATTTACCCTTATCTAAACACTTTTTTGATTTATACCGGGATGAAACCCGTAATAAATTAAAAGGCTCATTTTTTAAGCTTTGTCAAACTAAAGACGATGACATACTCATCAAAATTGATGATTGCTGATTACTAGTACTCTAGTAGTCTCGAAACATCTCCAAGCTTTTAAAACTATAATTAGGTATTTTTTTCATCTTAAAATTATTTTCCATATATATATATATATATATATATATATATATATATATATATATATATATATATATATATATATATATGGGACAAACGGAATAATATTTAACAAAAGAAATTATATAAAAATCATTAAATTTCATCGGTTTCGTAATTCAACAACTTATATTTTATTTGTACTTTTATTAAAACGTTTTTATTCTATTAAAAAAATAATAAAAAAATAACTCATCATACCTTATTAGGCTAAGAGGAGTGGAATACAAACCACTCGTAAAATCCTATATAACATCCCAGAAGACTAGTGAACACCACCCTAAGGTTTGGTGACTTGGGTGTGGTGTGATGTAGCGTGAGTGCAAAGAGTAGCCAAGACACACAATCACTAATGCAGCAAACTTTCATCTATTTTCTTTTAATTTGTAGTTACATATATGGTCCCTGAAAATGTATCTTTGTTTCTCATTATACTCTTGAAATTAAGCCTTCAGCTCTCTCTCTCTCTCTCTCTCTCTCTCTCTCTCTCTATATATATATATATATATATATATATATATATATATATATATATATATATATATATATATATATATATATATATATATATATATATATATGGTTTTATTATTCTGTGTTTTTAAAATATATATTCATGTTTTAAATTATGTTTTTATTTAATTTAATCATAAAAAAGTAAAAAATAAAAAAAATAGATAATTTTGGAGTTGTGACCATTTCCTATGTGTATTGAGTTGGTGGTGGGTTGGTAGTGAACCTGACGTGGCACAGAGGTGGTGCCATTTTTTCAATGGGTTGGTAGTGATCACTACCCACAACCTTATTGTTCGAAAAAAAATCATCACACACATTTTTTCCCACGTATTCACTCAATTTTAACAGAATTGTCTGATTTGGCATTCGTAATATTTTTTTGTATTTTTTTTTTGTTTTGTTAAAATGTCTTTATTAGAAAATATTCTTGGAATTAGAAAATTTTGTTAAATCCGGTAAAGTCATTTGATTTTTTTTTTTTTTTGTATTATTTTTAGGAAGAATTTTGCACACTTAAAGTATTTGTAATTTTACTTTTTGGGCCTATAATAATATGCTTTCGGTTTTTTACTTTTTTATACGATTTTGTGATGATTTTTTTTATTTATTTATAGTGTGGGACCTACTACAAAACATATACCGACACATCGTTCTTTTGACTATTCGTCTTTTTCTTTTCAAAATATTATAGAATTTTAATAGAGTACACAAAATATAAATGGTTAAACCGCAAAACGAAACAAATATATGACAACTTTGCCCTATTTAATATAATCTTAAGGCTGAAGGGATTGGGCATGCTAAAACCCTCGACAATGAAGTGCTAAAGGTGGTAAACAAACCCCCTTTAAAATGCTATCAGCCTCGCTGAGAGAGGAGAGAGGAACATTAATACTGTGTTCTTATTGGCTTATCTAAGTTTATACTTTTTTTTAATTTTTTTTTCTAAAACTTATTAAACTAACAAATTACCACTTCCTACCTTTTTACATTTTGGATGCTAACACACTGACAACCTATGTGGCTTCAAAAAAATCTAATGAAAGCATAAAAAAAAAAATCTGATATGGTATGTTACCACTTCCTTTAGCCTAATAGTTTGACTTGTCAAAGCATGCTTTTGATATGAACCTTTTTAAGTTGAATTAGAACCTACAAATCACCTCGAACTTGGATCAAAAAGATAATTGGAGCTATTAGGTCAAGTTTGATGTTAAGTTGATATTGTTGAGCCTATGCTTTCAAATTGTTGGCAACCCTATATATACATGCTAAATTACACATTCAATGTGAAGGAAAAGAATACATATCCCGAATGATTATGGTACAACGTAGAAAGTTAAATCATTTATTGCATTATCTTTTGTAACTTTTCTATTATCAAGTCTGTTTAGTACATACATTATTGCACTAGATACCGGGTGTGATCCAGCTCTCTACAAAGGTCGAGACTTACTAGAAAGTTGGGTCACACCTACTGTCTAACATAACAAACACACTCAATAATAGGAAAATTACAACAAATTATACAATAACACCAGAGCAGTTGATATAAAACCGGTAAACAATAAATAAACAAGCAAATAAAGCTCTAGTCACAATACAAAACTGTCATCAATTTTCTACAATATACCAGAATCAAAATTGTTAAATATATATAAAGTCAACTCTACCGATATTTCTTTGCTTTGGCCAACTTCTTCTTTTTCTTCTTTACAGCTTTCGGCACTTTACTCTTTCGAGCTTCTCTCTTCTCTTCTTTCACTTTCTTCTTATTCTCTTTCCTAGCTGACTTTTTATCCTCAGCTGTCATTTTTTCATCATCAGAAAAATCATCATCATCATCATCATCTGTTTCACCCTCTGATTCATCATCATCTTGCAAGTCTAAACCTTCTGTTTGACCACCACCAGGGGCATTTTGTTCAAGATTTGCTTCATTATGCTGTTGTTGTTCAATAGATCGTGCATGATTGAGCCCTGTAATGGTCTTATAATACATATCCCCAGTGTCTTGCCCACTTGTCAATCGTATCACATCTTCCTCAGCATTTGTCACATTATCCAAAGTCTTTGGGATGTATGACTACAAAAATAATACAAAAAAAAAAAAAACTTTAATCAGAAAAGAAATCGACTTTAAAATGTAAATACTAAATATGTTGGTATTATAGGTAAAAGTAAAGTGATGCACACCTGGACAAAAACAGCATCTGCAATTTCTTCCTCTGCAGATATCTCATCTCCTCTAGCCAAAACTTTTTGTTGAGCCTGAATTTATGGAAATTGATTAATGATATTGAAAGATACTACTTTGTTATATAAACTAATAAAAAGGTGAAACATTGTTGTATAAATATAGTAATATACCTCCTCCAAGTAACTATCCACAGAATCTTCATTAATCGAAGGATCAACAATAAAATCAAACAATTCACGGATAGTCATAACAGCTACTCCACCTTTCTTGAAAAAATCCTGCATCCCACAACATTTCATTACTTTTATTTCATTAATCCCACTAAATTACTAATTTAATTTAAAAACACAGTATAGGAAACTTACAGATACGTGAACACAATCCTCTCTCAGAAAATCAAGTGCATGAGGATGATCAAGATCAACTGATTGAGATACATCAATGATGTACATGTGACCCTACCACCAACAAATATCAATATTCAATAATCACTCACATGGTGTTTGTTCATTTCTTAAAAAATGCTTATAACCAAAACAGCAAGAAGATTTACCTCATGGTAAAGTATGTTATATTCACTAAGATCTCCATGTACTAGCTTACACTTTTGATATAATACACGCATTGAAGTTATCATCTACATATACATATACACAAAAAGGTTGTTTAATGTTTATACACTTATACTCACTAAGAATAATCAAGTTTGCAAAAGCATGTAATGAGTAACTGTAAGAATGTAAAATTACATAATTATCCTTACCTCAAAATAACCTTCCCGTAGCTTATCAAGCGACAGTGCAGCATCTTTAAGCCGGGGTGCAGCCCATCCAGTATTGCCTGAACATATACCAAGAAACTTCAGTAAATGAAAAAAAAAAAAAAAAAAAAAAAACACAAGAATTTTATTTATTAATATTTGATAGCATATCATGAAAATAATTATAAAAACATAAATGGAATCATGTACCTATGAACTCCATAACCAGGACATGGAGTCTTAAAAGAATTGGGGTGGGGCAACGAATACCAGCTGCCTTCAGTCTACAGTTGAACAGTTATTAGAAAACATTATTGTAAAGATTCAGTATTTTATAAAAACCATTGTGGGAAAAATTATAATGGGGTATCAGTTATCATTAATCAAATATCACAGGGAATTAAAAAAATGTTACCTCATAAGATTCCTCATCTCCTTCTCAGCCCATGTCTTAACCATTTTTCTTGGGTTGTGCTTGCAATATCCGTATCTAAATCGATAATCACCTTGTACATATCGATCTCTATCCCTAAAGTAGTCAACAGTAATAAGATCATTAGTGTAATTACTATATATGATGTGACATGATCTGAAGAAGGTGGAAGAATTAGTACATAGGACATACTTGAAAACAAGAACAGAAGTTTTGTAAACTTTGATTGCAAGTTCCTGGCCATCGGATCTTGTAGCATGATAAACATTTGCCTGTTTGACAGAAAAATGGTAATAAGTAAATACATCTTAAAATTGCTAATGAATGATAAAGATGGGAATGGGATTTTTAATTGTTATTCATACCTCCTTCCCAGTTGAAATGCAGCCATTGATATCATGGAAAATACCTCGATTCAACATTTTGAATAAAACCATACGAGTTCTAGGATCAATTGCCTGAAAAATAATGATTACATTTCAAAAGAGATAATAAGGCTACAACCAAGAAACAAAAACCTAATAGAAAACAATCTTATTGAGCATTGAATGTACACACACACACACACACCTGTTCAACAGTTGCTCGATCAGCTTTTTCAGTAGTTTTAGTTTTACCAATGGCCATCCCTCTGACACTTTCACGTATGGCAGTGGTGACAGAGTTTGACATACCAGAATCCCATCTTCCTTCCCACTCCTGTAACAGAAATATATTTACATACACTTCCACATTGTTAACATCATATCAAGCAATAATTACTAATTTCAAAAGTAAATATACACCTCTAATGGCGAAGCTCTGATATGATTAGTAAACTTCTGGTTCCGATTAGAGAGTGGTTGGAGAGGAGAAGCGTTAGGCCGCGAGTGGATTCCACCATGAGCATTTGGACGTCTTGCATTGAGTACTAGAGCTCCATCAACTGCTCCTGAATCATCTTTGGCGTCCAGATAATCCAAGGCTTCTCCGATTTCAGAATCAGATGACCATGAATCCTCTTCTTCATCAACTTCGTCTTCTGATACTTCTTCATCTTCCACTTTGTTGTTAGCTTCTTCCGTGGCAGGCTTTCCAACAACAATCGACATCGGTAACAGTGGCGAAATCCCAATTAACAAAACCTAACGAAATATTTACCAATAAAAATTAATAACTAAAAACGAGCAAACCTAACAAAACATTAGCTACTACCAATTAGTAATTAGCAAAAAAAACTGTTCGAAGTCTCGAAAGAAAATATCAAATGTAAACTGATAACTAAAAAATCATCCTAGACATTGCGTAGAATTCGATTTTTGGATGGGATTGTACCTGAAGGACGCAGGAGGGAGGCAGCAGTTAGTGGTAGTGCTGTGGCGTTAGCAGGGCACAGACAGTGGACGTTCGCCTGGTGACGGCAAGCGGGAGGCGGCAGCAGGGAGCTGAGAAACAGAGACCAACAGTAAGATTTTGAGGAGGGTTCTGACGTACTGTGGACTTTGTGTGAGGTGACAAGTTTTTATTGGGTTTTTCAACCGAGTTTTTAGTTAACTTCATATACAAAAAAAAAATTTAACTAACTTTTTATTGGGTTTCGTTAATGGGCCTTTATAAATGAACCATCTACAACCGGGCCGAACTAGGTATCTGATTTGGGGCCGGAAACTGCTCATTTGGATGGAGGGCTGGATCATGTGTTCATAGGTGACAAGTAATGAAGTATGCAATATTTGAGTAAGACCAGAGGTATATTATTATTATTATTATTATTTTACTTTTTGGAGTGTTATTAGTTTTTTTTTTTACTCAGAAATTATTATTTTTTATTGTTTTTCATTTTTAAATAAAAATAATTGATTTTTATGATTTATAATTTAAAAAATAAATATAATTTCTTAAAAATGATTAGTAAATACAAAAATTAATCAAAATTAAACTACTTCATTACTTAAAATAATTACATTCAAGATTTAAAAAAAAAAACTAAAAAACAACCAAAATTAAAAAAAAAAAAAACACAATATAGATTAAAAAACCACCTAAAAACATAATTAAGAATTACATAATATCTTATTTTGAAAAAAAATACATCATTCGAAATCTTCGTCCACGTAATCGTGATTCTCGTCATCGTCATCATGATCCTCGACATCGTCACCCTCAACAATATATGAATCTTCATTTAATTCGTCAAACAAATCATCGTGTCAACACTTTGTTTGGGGCTGTATGTGAGCCATATAAACGTGCTCCACAAAATCCGCACGAAAGACGTGATGAATGTCACGATCATGTTCTTCTTTTCTATTTGCCATATACTCTTGCGTACCAATGGATACGCATTCGACATTTGGCAAAACTTCGTTTTTATTGTATCGACATATCACTCTTCATTCGTCTTCAAGAATCATATTATGTAATATGATACACGCGTAAATTATGTCTTACAACATTCTCACTTCAAATGACAATGTCCTGACTCTTAGTACTTACTAATGCCTCTTAGGTACATCAAATGTTCGTTTCACGTCCTTCCTACCTGACTCTTGTGCATGCTTAAACTTTTTCTTTTTTCGTCGTTCGGATATGTGAACAATTTCACAAAAAACAGATAAGATAGGTTATATCCCAATTCCCATCAGTAAGCTAGTACTCACGCTTATATGTTACCTCATTTTCTTGAAAATGTACATCATGCAACTTTCCATTGTAGATGTCGTCGGATATCGTCAACTGATCCAGAGTATTGATGTCGTTATTTGCACCATATGGATCAAAGAATGTATGTTATATAAAAGGATCATCTGATGCGATTGCTTCTAGAACAATCATCGATTCTCTATGGTCGCCTCGTATGTATTGATCACGTTATGTGTTGGGGCATAATACCTAAGCCCAATGCATGCAATCGATACTACCTAACATTTCCAATTACCCATGCTTATTTTCATGCACTGTGTACAATTGGTGGACATCGTTGATGGCTGGTTTGCGAAAATACCTTCTTCCGTAAACCAAAGTAATAACTTTCGGGAACTTGTACACACTTTCTTCCATTGTACACTCTGACATCCTCAAATACTCTACACATTTGTTTACCCCCATGTCGTATGCTAATTGACGAATTGCGTATGTGAATTTTTGAATTGGAGAAAAACATTTTATGTGTCATGAATTCTGCTTCCATTGAAAATACGGAAAACGGCCTTCCAAATCGTCAACAATATGTAAAAATAACTCCTTCCTCATCCAAAAACGTCATCGAAACTTTTTAGTGAACACCGCGTCATCTGCAAAATTATCTTCTATAAGACGATTGTGAACGGCTTCACGATTTCTTCACAACTGTGGCTTTCTTGTTTTATGTAACGCCTGTGTTTCTAGGCTAGGCACTAATGATGATGTAATAGTCTAGGCCAACCTTTGTAACTTGTTTTGAAATAATAAAGATGTATTATTTGATTATTATGTGTTTTATGCTTAATTATTATAATTTAATGAATTAAGGATAAAAATAAGCATAAAAAATAAATGCTAGATGAACCCGACATCAATGAAGAAAGTTGTAGTGGTTGAAACAAGGATTCCAGAGATATAAAAAATATCGAAATCCGAGTTATAACGAATAAGTTATGACTTGTTGAAGTTTCGCGACAGAACCAACATGACGTTGTGTGATGTAAAAAGTGAATTTACAGTAAACTGTTTTTTAGCCTTAGCGATCTAAATAATATTTGTAGTGTTCGTTAAACCGAGAGCTTGCATAAAAATATGCTCAAATCTGACTTCGTATGAGGAAATTATGATTTTTTAAGTTTCAGCTTAGAAGTAGACAAATAAAAACTCGAATTTTAGATCGAGTGATTTTTAGCCGACACAACCTAAACGAAAATCAAATGTCTCGTCAATAGTAGTACAACGGTAAAAGTACAAACGAAATCGCACATCGGATGAAAAAGTTATGAATTTTTAACGAATTTTTCTGTCCCGGTATGTTAAAAATAATAATATAAAAAAATTCAAAATTAACCAACGGGGTCTAAACGAAAGTCGTATAGTATAATCTCACCTACACGCGCATATAAAGAATGTCGAAAACGGAGCTCGTATGCGAAAGTTATGAATTTTTGAAGTTCAGGGCACAAAATCCGAAAATTTTCTCATGCGGAATCAGCCACGTCGCCTCGCATGCGAGCCATCCCCGTGTCCGTCTGCTGATTTGACCGAAGTGAGGTCCAATTTGAAGCTGACGCGTGTCTCGGCCTTGCCTCGTGTCCAACGCGTGCCCTGCCACTTCGCCCTCGTTGCTGCCACCTGCCTCCCTATCGCTGTTGTCGCATGTTTTCTCTCTCCCCCCCCCCTTCGGCCGAAGCCTCGCCCGGTTTTGGTTGGATTTTTGCACGCTTTTACATCCTAAACTTTATTTTAAGCCGCTTTTAACCCCCCGAAGCCCCGGGAACCTACCTAACACCCAAAGAACGTCCCGAAGTGCCTGAAGACCCCAAGAAATTTATGTTTTCAGTTTGAAGCTCAACCCTCGCAAGGCCCGGTTCTCATTAAAGCTCTCGGTTTCATCGGAAACGATTGTTTTAAGAAACGAAGTGCTGCCCGATTATCATTAAATCAAGTGAGTGTGTAGTTAATTTCATCTTACACATAGATATGAGGTATTTTCTACAAAATCCGTCCTATGTGTATATTTATTGTTTACTTATTTGAGATGGGTGTTGAATGAATATTTTATACAAGTTTTAAAATGATTTAAAATGTATATGTATTTTTATCTACAAATATGTTGGATATAACATGGGTATATGAAATAGTTGGTGTGTGTGTTAAAATTATGAGAGGCCTTGATGACGTCCATGGACCTTTCTAGATAGTCCAGTGGAACGCTAGTAGGCTCGCAACCTGTAATTGTTAGTGAACTATATGTTCGTTGGTGTACTCCATCCCCTTCATGGTTGCCTTAAGGACATGTGTGGCTGAGGAATCCCCTTAGCAATAGTGTCCATCCCGATGATGATCTTTAGGCTAGGTCCCTTGTGATAGGTGTTTAGGGACGTAAAGTGAGGATAACGGGAACGGGTAATCAAAGTTATTGTTGGTTGATGAAATTAATAAGTTAATTATTAGTTAATGAAATTAATAAAATTATTATTATTTGTGGGTTGAAAACCCTATATACTTACGAGACTTCTAAGTTTGACCCACTCAATTTTTTTATATTACAAGTAGTAGACCCAAAGCATAGTTTGGATGATGAAAATGGATTTTTGGATTATAGGTCAGTAGTTGTAAATAACTGTTGTAAGGCTTATGATGTACTGATTATGCTTTTGATCTGTATCAGAACATGACATCCCGAGGTTTTGATATATAATGAAAATACATATTTATTTAAGAAATGTTTTGATAAATTTTCATCATGTTTTGTTTTGGGGACAAATTCTATAACTTCTTTTAAAAGATTACTCTGATTTTATTTTAAAAACATAAATTAAATCGGTATTTTTTGGCCGAAAAAATTGGGGATATCACATTTTAGGTCGTGAACATGAACTTTGACTTTGTCGGTTTTGAAAATACGCCCCAATTTTTTTCATGATGGAACCGAAAAATATTGCCTCCTTTTAAGCCGTTAGATCGAAAGACGAAGATGACGACACCGTGTTTTAATAGTTTTTTTTTGAGATGATATGTAGAAAAATGTGTAGAAATTATGTTGGGTTGATTTGGTATTTATAGGGTGATAAAGGGATTAAAACACACTCACACCTGGGTTACAACCGTTGAAAAAAGATTATATATATATATATATATATATATATATATATATATATATATATATATATATATATATATTTTAACCATTTTCGACCGTTAGAATAAGAAAGAGAAAAAAAAAAAAAAAACTTAAAGGGTCAATCACAGTAGGAGAGAGGATGTGGGGAAGGCTTCCCTCACCCTGTTACCGCACTAGCTTCCCACACCCTCGGTATTGTGTTCCGAGATACAAGTAAGGTTCCCGCTCCTCCTTCCTATGGTGTATCCTTCAGCCTAATGCTTCTGAAGGTTCATATTATGTGGCAATACAACATCCTGAATATACATATAAAGACGAAATTCCAAGAAAACTCTCTAGATGGAATATGTTACGGAGTAGTAGAAATCAGAATATATATATATATATATATATATATATATATATATATATATATATATATATATATATATAGGGAAAGGTTATTTGGAAAACAAAAAAACCCTAATAAAACCCTAAAAATCATAAAAATGCATAAAAAAAAAAATACCTAGAGATCACAAAACTTTTTTTTGACATTTTATAAGAAAAAATCGCAGATTTTTGAAGAATATCGCTGAAAAAAATTTGAAAAAAATAACTTTTTTTTTTTGCAAAAAAAAAAGTTATTTTTTTTTCAGCGAATTTTTATAAAAAGCTGCGATTTTTTATAAAAAAAATTCAAAAAAAAAAATTGTGATCTCTAAGTATTTTTTTATGCATTTTTATGGTTTTTTGTTTTCCATATAACCTAAACTTATATATATATATATATATATATATATATATATATATATATATATATATATATATATATATATATATATATATATATATATATATATGGGGGGAGTAGAAAGAAATCGAGGACCTGAAGAATATAGGTTTTGATCGAAGTATGAGTGTGGCTTAAGTCAGCTTGGAGAAGGAGGAATGTAAACTAGGTTATCTGATTTGGGGTAAAATCCGCTTTATGGGAGTGAGTACCGATTCTAGACGGATCGGTGGTTACAGTGTTTTCAAACCCGTCAATGCTTCATGTTGTCATTATGACCTGTATATGAAATGCCTTGACCCGTCTTTGCCCACGCAATGTTTACCAACACAATTATCGAGTTTTCGAGACATCGGTATCCCACCATGTTACCATGACATGTCATGACTCCTTTGTGATACCCGTTAATCCAAGCTAGGTGTTTTGACCTTAAAGAAAATAAAATACTCAATTAAGTGATATAAATAATTATTTTAATAATTAAATTTCTTAAATGATAATTATAATGTTTTATAGGTTTAGTTAATACTCAAATATATAATAACGGTTTAATTAATACATACGAAGTAATAGTTATGAGTGCTCATTTGCCTAAATCGTCGAGAGTTGTTTTGTAAGATAAAGAATATAAAGTAATATACATACTTGTTTCCCTTGTTGAAGTCTTTAGCCTTAGTTTCTTACTTGCTACTTCGTTAATACATCATACGGAGCAAAGTTAGTCTAACTTAGATGGAAGTACGCTTAAGTGGCATACGATATTAAGTAATCGAAAGAGTCAGCCAGTAAAGCACATCTTAAAATAAAAAGTAATATTCAATTTCCGCAGAATAACATTGTTATGAAAACCAACAAAAACAACGAATCAATTTTTTATGCAAAAAAATTACATTTGAATACTATAAAACAATTGAATTAATCATTTTGAGGCAGCTCCGAATTCGTGGCTATATTGTTAATAGCTATTAATATTTTTATGATTTTCTTTAAAATATATATTTAAGGATTTAGGATTATTTTGAAATATAAATATTTTTATTGAGAAAATAAATAAATTTAAGAAATGTAAGTAATATTTACCTAAAAACACTCATTTCGCATTATCTTTGACACTTAATTTTCTTTCTTTCACAAAACTCATGTGTCCTCTTAAAGTCATCTTAATACAAAAGAAAGTACCAAAAAAAAAAAATAAGTAAATAAATAAATAAATAAATAAATCTCGTAGTCATAGTCATAGAGAAGAGTCCAGAGGTTCATCGCTTTCTATTTCGTCGATCTCAACCGTCCGATCATCAGTTACCTGTTGTTCCTCATCCACACCGTCAATCGCATGATTCCATTCCTCCATGGGTGCGCACTCAATCTTATGGTGCACCCTCCAATCATGCGCCTGACACCCACGTGAGCAGTAGTTCACCATCCCACAACCCGAACATCTTCTGAACTCATTCCTTCGGGTCTCCGGTCTCCCACACCACCCATCGGAGCACAATCTCAGACCCGGACCCGGAACGCCGCAGCCTTTCAACCCAAACCACTCAATCAAAAACCGGTTCGCAGGGTGGAGTTTTTTCTCCGGTAAGCCTGAACCGTATCGGCATGGTGATCCATTTGATTCTATTAAATCCGGTCGTTGAGACTGCGTAATGTTGAATGCGCGTAGGACGGACGCAAGTTCACACGCGTTGGCTTGGACGAGGAGACGGCGTCCTTCTTCGACGTCTTTCCGTACACCGTAACCGTCTTGAAGGCAGTGTCCGAGCTCCCTGAGGGCGTCGACGTGACCGAGATAAGCGGCTCTTGCACAGAGAGCAACTGCAGCTCGGAGGTCCTTATCGGTTTTCTTGCCTCCACTGCCGTTGAACTGAATCAGAGCCAGTGAGTACAGTGCCGGCGCGTGAGAATTAATCGCCGCTTTCGCCATCAACGACGCTCCACTTCCTCGATTTTGTAGACAATAAAATCGGATCTAGGAAAAAAACACAAAACAACTCTAAAAATATATACTAAACGAAACTAATCCATCGATTTCTACAACCACAATTCCATTATTCAATCAAATACTAATTACTATTTACCATTCCAAGAGTATAATACGCCTCTTTGTTGCCGGCGTTGACGCACAATTTCAAAAACCGGTGAGCCTCATCAGACCAGTTTTTAGCTGTGACGGAAACAACTCCGCTTCCTGCGTTCGACAAAACCAGAGGATGCATGCCTAATTTCTTCAACCTTTTACATCTACAAGAATAAAAATCGGAAAACCATATATTATTAGATAAACAAATTTCAGTTCACAATCATTTCTAACAAAACACCAGAAATTTGGTATGCATATTTTAGACCAAAGCGTACGTAAGAAGAACAGCGACGAAATCAGCCGGAGAAGATGCCGTAGAAGTGAGCTTGCACAGAATTACAATAACAATCTCATCAGGTAACGATTCAAACAGATCGGATCTTGTTCTTGTTGTTCCATAAAGAATAGCTCTTCCTCCTCTTTGTCGTAGCTGCTTCTTCATCTTCATAATTGGTTGCAGAAGACAAATTCAAAACCGCACGAGCATGTTCAAGGGTTTGATGTCGAAAGTGAAAATAGGGAATATTTGAATCACTTTTATAGTTGATGAAGAGAATGGAAGAGAAAAGATAATGAATGAAAACTCCTAGTAATAAGGACAAAGAACCCACGTAACAAGATACTACAATATACAATATGGAATTATAAACTTCAAATCTATAAATTTTATACGATATAAAAAGGCCGGGTCGGTTTTTCCCATGAGGTTTTATTTTTCTTAGTTTACAAAATGATCCATTTAACTCGCCGACAAATATATATATATATATATATATATATATATATATATATATATATATATATATATATATATATATATATATATATATTTTCCAGAGTTAAATAGGTGGTGTTTCAGAAACTTTTAACGGTTTTATTTTTGTAATTATGGTTTTTTTTTTTTTTAAGTTGGTCCAAAAAAAAATTCATGCTTGGATGAGACAATTTTTTTCTCTCTTTCGTTAGATTTTTTAAAATAATTTATCAAGCAGATATAACTAAATAATTTAGTCGATATTAGGGATTGTTTACAACTTTCGATAATTCAATCGTTTAAATGGTACAATGTTGTAGATAAATTTGTCTTTGAATAAAAATATATAGTTTGGTTAGTCCTCTAAATAACTATATTGAATGATAAAAATAATGATTTTATTTTCTATCCAAGAGGTAAAGTTGAAATGTTTTAAAATCTAATGATATATAAACAAAAAAGACTTCAAAGTTATTGTGATCAAATTAAGTTTAATATCTACTATTTCTAAAGTAATTCCCAAATAAGGATTAAACATCCAAATAAAATTCAAAGGAAACCAAATCAAAATTCATTTAATCATCGAGATGTGGTTCTCATGAACACAATCCTCTTTCCAAGAACCGAGTGACATGCAAGTGAATATGATGTTAAAGAAAATATTATCACAGTATATTTGTAGTAAAAAATTTTGGATTGCGGTTGGAGTGAGAATTACAATAATAATAAACAATGTAGATTTTATTGGTTAAAAAGAAATTATTTTACTATATAGAAATTATCACAGTATATTTGTAGTAAAATATCCCAATTTTAATACTTTTAAAGTTTTAATACTGAAATGGTAGTTGATATCGTCTTTGGTATGGAGATTAATGGGTCCCTTTTTAATTGACTTTTAACCTGATTTTGACTTTAGCGAAATATGTGAACTCCAATAATAATAAACAATGTAGATTTTATTGGTTAAAAAGAAATTATTTTACTATTCTAATTAAATTTTAAAATATTTTTATTGGATGAAATTATATTGCTTTCCGAAAAAATTAATTATAAGTAGTTAATTATAAATTGATTTTTTATAAATGGATCAATAGGGTGTTTTATTAGCATCACTATTGTGATATACATGCTAATTCAATTACATTACAAATATATGTAAAAGTATTAAAAACCTTTACCTTGTTATTCATATATGTGTATTTAAACAATAAGACTCTACATGTATGCCTACACAATACTATTTTTAGTACTTGTTTGCGTTGCTACATATATGCTTAATTTGTTCTTGTTTGTTGTCTTGTTGTGTTAGGTTGGAAGGAGTGGTGTTAAATTTGTCACGGTCCACGTAAGCGTTACCTTGGATTTGTCATACCGCTTCAAAATTTAGTCATTTAGTGGGCGTGAGTTGTCAATTTTTGTTATGTTAAAAAATTGAAAAATAAATAAATAAAAGCATTGTGATTGGTTGGTCAAAAAGTCAAATGAGGAAAAATAGGGGAGAATACTCGACAACTTATTGCCGAAACACTTGTCATTTTTGCCATGCTGAGACCATGGTACGGTGTGCCAAATGTCAACTAGACAAATATCGAGTGGTTGCTGAGACCACTCCGCATAGCCTTAGTATGCAAATTCCGCATAGCCTTAGTATGTAAATTACTATTGCGGAGTAGAATGTTCAACTCCCAAACACTCAATCCAAAATTATCTAAATTTTACGATAGTGCCTTTTATCGGATTTTTGTTGGTGTTATGATATTTTTTTTCCCTATGATATTTGCACGTTTTGTTTTGATAAAGAATATGTAGAGTTTTATTTTTGTGGAAGCAAACTTTTAATATTTTATATGAACTGTGAAAAAAAGAGAGACTATTTTACTGGTTTTTGTTAGGAACAAGAGATGATGTAATGGGGTTAACTCTTAAAAAATGTTGTATGTTGTGTAGCGGTGTATGTGTGTGTGTTCCAAAGTTGTCGACCTATCAAAGGAAGTGGCACCTCAAAACAGTCGAATGTACTTTTTGACCACTTTTATTTTTCTAAATCAAAAACGAATATGCATATTTTTTCTATTAATCACGAGTAATATATTTATATTTATTGTTGTACAAATTATTATTCGGTAACTGTTTGGTCGAATCGGTAAGTATTCAAGGATATCTAGAGAGTATTCGGATTCGATAATTCATGTAGAAATATTTTTAGGGAAATTATTATGTCAAAATCATAAGTTAAAATCATAAATTGATCGAAATATATAACAAAATTAGATACATATTAATACACAAAAACTTCAAAACACACAATGATTTCATTTCATGAATAATTACTGAAACTTTAAGATATATGTATACTAATAGTTACATGTGTGTGTTTTAAATAATAAATCAACAAGTATATTTATTATACATATTAATAATCGAATTGGTCGAGGTTTACAACACTGTTCATTTCAGTAAGGGGTCGATCGGAGAGTATTCGGATTTTATAACTCACATCGGTAAAGGATCGAGTAGGGAGTAATCGGCCAACTCGAAGAATTTTACAACACTAATTTTACCCAAACTTAAAAATGTCTAACCTCATTTTTTTAGCTTGTCTTTAACACCTAATATTTTTCTATGAATTCTATCATTTTTAATTTTTTGGTAACAAATCAACTTTAATTTGAATTTTGAAAATAAAAAAGTTTATTCTAATAAATTTTCTAAAATATATATTATCTATCTTTTAAAAAATCTATTAAATCTCTCGGACTTTAATGTATCCAAAGAAATTATGGATACATTCTCCTAATTATCTTCTTTATTTTTTTGTCAATAGAATAATTTTATAAATATCTACTATTGTTACCACACATTATAACCTAGTTATGATATATACTAAAACATCCAAATATTTTTATCAGCTACAAAAATTTACAAGGTGAATGCGACTTTTATGAAGAAAAAAAAAAGAAATGACTAATTAGGTTAACACCACAAAACAATTTTTAAAAATAGCAAAAAATTAGTAAAAATGATAAAAATAGTCAATTATTTTTGTAGGCACCACATGTGAAAATCTAGATGGTCTACGAGTTTTTTTTTTTTTTTTTTTTTTTTTTTTCAAATTACAAATCATCGTTTTGGTCTTGGCTAACTGCTAGAATGTGATGTGGGATGTGAAAATCTCAAGGTTATACGTCTAGTTCGTATCTAGTCATACATAGGGTGTGTTTGGCATGGAGCTTTTGAAAGCGTTTGGGAGCTTCTAGCTTTTAGCTTTTGACAAAACGCTCTAGTTTAAACAAAAAGTTTCGTTTGGCAGTACGAGCGTTTAACTTTTGGTTTTAACAAAACGCTCCGATTCTAAAAGCTACTTCATGTAGCGTTTAACAAAACGCTCTTGAGCTTTTGAAATCAATTTCCATAATTACCCTTAAAAATATATTTATATATTTATTTATTTTTAATCAATTGTCCTTTTATGTAATTTTATATATTTCAAAAGCTTCCAACTACTTTTGCCAAACATTCATATAACAAATAAAAGCTATAGTTTCCCGCTACCAGCTACCTGCTACACACTATCAGCTACCCGTTACCAGCTTACCGCTACCCGCTTCCAGCTAACAGCTACATTTGTCAAACATGCCAATAAACTATTTTTTTTCTCATTTTTACTCAACATTTTCACAAAAAACCCTACAAATTCTCTTCGGACAAGATGTCTGAAAACAACACAGATCTATATGAATCAGTGAGTTATTCATCGTTATCTACATATTTTTTGTGTGTACCCGGAAATTAGAAGTAACAATCCATAAGTTGTTATTAATAGTAAATAAATGGTTTATGACGAATAATAATGTTTCTTTGAAGCTTATGTGTTAAATGATGATTTTTAGAAAACTTCAAAAATCATCATGTACCATATTTTGGAACTAAATACGTGTGACTTCCGAATATCTAAATAGCAAGTGTAACATGTCAATGGATGGTCTTTGTTGTAAAGAAGAATTCATATGAAACATCAAATGCATTACCAATTATGGACGGTTTAAATAACCATTATATAATAGTTTTCAAAATAATATTCTGAGTTTCAAATGCAAAATATGGTCCCAAAGTTTTAAACATCCAAATTAGTTTGAAAAACATGGGAACATGTAACATTCTAATTAAAACAATGGTTCAAAATAAGATATTTTCAAACAAAATAAACTGTCTGTTAAATATCTTTGGGCTCCTCAATCTTCTATGTTCAATTTCGATCTCCATGTATCATTCCAGAATCATCACATATATTTGTATTAAATCTGTCAAATTTTGCCTCCATTTTCTTTGTAATCCCACAATAATGGAACTATTGAGATGGTTAATTGTGCTACTCAAAAGCAAGTTGATGATGTGATGCCTAAACCGTTGAAGCTTGACGTGTTCTTGGAGATGCATGATCTCTTGGGTATTTATTCAGAGCTTGGACTAAAGTTATAGCTGATAGTTGGAGTAAAATGATAGTTGAAACTTCCAATTTAAGGGGTGATGTTAAAGTATATAGTTTTTACCTTTGGTTTGCTTATACGTCTATAATAAATGATCTTCTGCTTTTGTTGACCTTTTCTTGATAGTGGTCTTTAGGGCCATTAGTTGTATCTTAATGCTCTTTTAAGTTTTCGTTGTAAGGCTATTTATAAGCAAAT